GCTCACTGGAACACCTCCACGCAGCTTCCGGAAGAGCTTGTGGACTTTCCCTGCACACGGATGGTACCGGGTCATTGTGGTCAGAGTGTTGATAGGAGTGTGGAGTCGTTCCTAGACCAGCATTTCTTAACCTGGGGATCGCGGCCCCTTCAAGGCTGTTGAATGACCATTTCATAGGATGTCGCAGATCAGGTATCATACATATCAGATATTTGCATGATGACTCATAACAGTAGCAAAATCAAAGTTATGAAGTAGCAATGAAAATAGTTTTATGGTTGGGGGAATCACCACAACATGAGGAACCGTACTAAAGGGTTTCAGCATTAGGAAAGTTGGGAACCTCTACTCTAGACATTCCAGAATGATCCCTTCATCTGGAGACATGGGTTCTGATTCAGTAAGATAGAGGAAGATGGCAGCTGGTCCCTGCTGCCAGTGAAGCTCCAGTTGAAGATGGGCTCTTCTGTTCCCTAAATTCTGAGCAGAACCAGGGGACACGAACAGCAGGAATGAGACTGTATCATAGCCCATTTACCATCTTGAACAACTTATTCCTTTCTCACCAAAGACTAATTTAAAATCTTTCTTGAATCAGTCCCCACACCCTCTCCTGCGAGGCCTATCAGTGGTATCTTGCTGACCATGGTTCAGTCCCCAGAAAGTCTCCTGTCGTCTCCAAATCACTGCATCAAAACAAACGGTTTTCCTCCAGTCTGCAATCCAAGACCTTGAAAATTGCGTAATTTAGTTTGGACTGGGAAATTGACCTCCGACAATCTGTGGCATTTCTGCTTGTAGACAGGAAAGACCCTGGCGTCAGCATGGCAGAGGACAGAGAATGAAACCCTGTGTTCAGGACAGAGTGATGTGACCACCTGGAGGGCAACCTTTAAGAACCAAGCATGAGAATGTACCTGTTCAAATCCAAATACCTGTCCCAACCTGGATCTTTGCAGTTCCCAGGAAACTGAGGCACCATGCCCACCTTAAGAAGCTAAGAACTGCCCATTCCAGACCCATCCAGAACCCACAAAGCAGCCCTGAACTTAGTGACTCAGAACTCTGTGCTCCTGAGCGAACAATTCCATGCCTTCTGCAGCCACTACAGACAGCTGAGCAGATGGAGAACATAGCTCCCTATCCAGGAACCTGCCCCTGTCAGTGATGGCAACTCAGAGAGGAGGGCTTCTGTGACACCTCTTCACACTTCAAACATACCACAAGGGAAAGAAAGAGAAGGGCAAGCCCACTCATCACAGGGTGTGGAGGGAGGAGCCAGGGGTGGGACAGATGCAAGTCATTAGCAGGCCCTGTACACATGGCTCCAGGAACTTTGGGCATGTGGATAGAGCCAGCCTGTCCACTTCCTTTCCTATAAATCTGCCCTCTGTCTGGCCTCTGGAAAGATTAACCGACACCCCCCCACCCCCATAGGCTGGACAACCAGGCCAACTCAGATGGGAAATAATCCTAATGGGACATGGGAACAGGACAGTCACCCACAGAGCAGAGTCCAAGAGTTTAGAAAATAGCTTTTCTGGCAGCTTTATCCAATGTCTTACGGCTGAGATACTGGCTGAACCAAGGAGCTATAGAGCATGGTGATGGGACCTTGTAGCAATAGGTATCTCTCAACTTCTAGGTGCACCTTGAGGGATCCCCCAGCCTGGGAACTGCCAGTCTCATTGCTCATCTTTGTCACAGCCTCCCTGGAAATCATTGCTTGCATCAGCACAGCCCTTTGCCCCAGTACCTACCAGAAGCTTCCTATCCACCAGACCCACAGGGCTGTCAATTGGGGAGATGGTTTATTTCTAATACATTTGGACAGAAGGGGGGCACAGCTCTGTGTTGGGCCTGGAGTACTTGTCCATTCACCTCTCAGAAGCAACACAGAATCTGACTGTCAGACAGTATCGTGTTAGGTGCTACTTTGCCCAGAATTGCAGGCTCCATTACCAGGTACAGAGTCGACCAGAGAGAGACCGTGGCTTCAGAATTGCACATTAATGTGCCTAGCTGTAAATAGTAAATAGTACTGATGGCTGGATTGAAAGTCAGGTTTCCTTCTGGAAACTGCAATAAATAACAAGAAAGCATTTTGTCCATCAGAAGCTTTATTTGTGAGGAACATCGAAGCAGATATAAATGGCACTTCTTCAAGTGGCAGAGAGAGAGACATCCCCGCTGGGCAGCCCCAGCGCTGGGGAGCTGCAGAGAAAAGAGTGAAGTGGATTGAAAGTGGGAACACAGGGATGTGGGTCAGGTTCCCACACTCTGGGGAAGAGTGAGCCAGACAATGCTCAGAGGCCAGCATGTCTGGCATGTATAACACAGGACCTGGGGGGTGAGGAGGGACCACTGGTGCTTGAAAATACCCCAGAGGTCAGAAGATGTACAGTGGCACTTACTGAGTGCCCAGAATGTCAGATCTACAGTTACCTGTACCAGGTCACTCAGTGGCCTCCTTTGTCCCCTATTTCCATGGAATAAACGCTTTGAAGAGGTATGTAGGTGAAGCTGGTGCAGGTGCAAATGCATGGGTCTAGCAGAGAAGTGGGGTCCCTCTAGTATGAACGCCACATTGTCCCTTCAGTTGTATTCTCTATCCTGTCCAGGCCTCTAGGAGAAAGCTTGTCATCTGTGCTCAAGACAGTCTGTAGACGGTCTCAGCTGATGCTGGTCTCGTGTCAGAGCTGACACCACATACAAACAGCCTTTGGGGGAATAGTTGCAGACATCACAGATCTGGAGTTTGCAATTCACCCTTGTGCTAAGTGCATGTGCAACCTTGGGCTGATACTCATAAAGTTGTTGCCATCATATGTGAACTGATGCAGGAGCATGACAAACTGACCCTAACAGTCCTCATCTGAGGCTGCTGCCTCTCACTGTGGACATGGTCTTCCAAAGTCTGCTCAAGTAACTTATTCTCTACCCCTAGGCTTTTTCTTAGCAGTTCTGTTTCTTCTGTGTTACCCAGGCAATGAACTGAAGAGTGTCTTATTATTCCTAAATGCATAGTCTGCTGTAGGCGGAGACTGCTCCTTCTCCCGGCTGCCCAGACTCAAATAATCACTCAGAAACTATATTAATTATAACACTGCCTGGCCTATTAGCTTATGCATATTTCTAGCTAACTCTTGCATCTTAAATCAACCCATCTCTATTAATCTGTGCATCACCACGAGGTCGAGGCCTACAGGCAAGGCTCCAACATCTGTCTCCTCCAGCGGCTACATGGCGTCTAGTCTGACGCCGCCTACTCTCTCTCTCTCTATTTTTTTTCAATCTGGTTATATTCTGCCCTGCTACAGGACCAAAGCAACTTTATTCATTAATAAAACAACTCACAACATACAGAAGAGAATCCTACATCAGTCTGCAGCATGCCTAGGGAAGGAAAGGCAGGCCAGAGCCTCCTGTAGGCCTCCAACAGCAAGCTCAGTGTTATGATCAACAGTATGCAGTAAGAAGTCTGGAAATTCTTATGCCATAAATCAAGGTTATGTAGTGATGGACAGACCAAAGCCTCCAAGGCACCCAGTCCATAGTCTCCAGAGGCAAGCATCCCAACTCTGCAGGTAAAGTGTTCACAGCAACTGCAGAACATTCTGGGAATAATGAGATTCACCACAGAGAGGGTAAATCAAGGTGATGTTTACCGCACACAGGCCAGGGGAGAGGACTATCTGTAGGCTGTGCAGGGCAGGCTGGTCCTAACACTGTGACAGCTATGACTCTGATGTTTGGGCTTCTCTGTATGGCAGTGTACGAAGTCCTGTCTTCACACTATAGACCATCCAGTCAAACTGGAAGGCTATAACCAGTCTTCTCACAGAAACACAAGGACAAAGATAAAAGTCCAGGAGTCAGGTGACTGGTCAAACTCCATGACTTAGCTTTAAGAAGCAGAAGCAGGGCCCAGGACAGGCGACACTATAGTCCTGTGTTCTGAGTATACCTGCCCTGTTTCAGGGCCTATTGGAGATGGGAAATCTGTCACCCATTCCTCTTCTGGTATTGGGACAACAGCAGCAACAGGTACAGACAGTCCTTTCCTGATCACCTTGGGTGGTCCTTAGGAACCAAGCACACACCAGGGTTCTCTCAGAAGTGCTAGGTCAGGGGCACCCACTCAGAGAGGAGTCAGCATAGGCTGCCTCTGGCAGGTGACATCTTGGGATGATTTCCTCTCAGGCCACAATCTCTGCACAGAAGTGGTTGTGCTTGGTGGTCTACACTCAGGCCTATTTAAGGCACAGAGCAGGACCACAGCATCTTCTCTGTTTAGATGGGCTCCAGACAGTGAGTTTTCGTAAACAGTCATGGCTCAGTAGTCAAGTGTGGTCTCCCATTGTGTAAATGGGGGAATATTCCAGAAGCAAAGGAACTTATTGAAGGCAGAAGAGTAGTGTACAAAATGGTCCTACAATGGAGGGGCACCATCTTCACGGGTAAAGTGGGGAGCAAGTGCAGAGGAAGCTGGACAGGTGGAGTGAGGAGGCAGTGAGAGATTGCTGCAGACACCTGCACCCTCTGGCTTCCAAGGCTACAGGATCAGCACAGATCCACGGTTGCCCTGGGACCTCCAGAATTGGGTCACATGACATCTCTATTCCTGAACTTCACTCCTGAGAAGTGAGGCGAGATGGGATTTTTCCTTCATGAGGAAATCATGCAGGTCAAAGAGAAACTAGACTGAAGCAAGATGAGGGCACAGATACCCCCAGACACCAGGTCTACATCCTGTTTCTGTCCATGATTTCTGGAAGGTGGGCATCTCTTGGTGAACTCACCTAAGCTCTGCAAGCACTCGGATTTGAGCTACAGGAGACAGATATCCTTGACTGAACTCCACTGTCTCAGAGTTCTGCAAACGTACCAGGTTTCCCTCTCGAGTGGGTAAGACAGCTAACTGCACTCTGCATGTTCTTGCTTCATTTTCCTGGTTAATACTGAATCCAAGGGGGGG